TATCAAACAACGGTATTGATATTCATGAATAATGACAGCTCTTAACATAGTCAGTTTGACTATGCGGAAAGCATTTTGTTAGATATTCTTGAAGTGATTTACTACTAAATTTAATTCCTTGCAAGTGCTCATAGAAGGAAGTGGCAAATTGCAGCCACTAGAACATTTTGTCAAGAAGCAGAAAGATATCAGGTAAGCTTTATTCAATAACTGTCTTAGTTATCAAAATTAGATAACTAATTGGATTTTCCTGAGTCTACAATAGAGGTTTTAATGAAATTTGCAGAAGAATTTTCTGCTAGGAGGAGTGTCTTCAAGGATGACAATGTCCAAATCCACAGAGTACATGTGGTCACTTGATGATTTGATGAACATGACATTGATGTTATCCACATATCAAGGCCTTCTAAGTTATCTGATCTGGGACACAATCTAGCTTTTATGAGATATTGTGGAACAATGACTGTGAAAATGACCACATCCATTGACCAGGTGTGAGAAGATTGACTTTTGTGAGGAAGGATAGTACCACATCCCACCTGCAGAATTCTAGACATTGGTAGACTCTATGTCAAGTGACTTTACACTGCTGTTTTAATTTTTCTGTTTGTCAACTTCCTGTCTACTACTGCATGCTTAGATTAACCAAAAATATCAGAAAAGGAAGTTTTTCTTTATGTTCCCATACTAAGGTAAAAGCTAAAGGCAGACCTCTACAAAAACATCTTTTGTTTCCTTTTATTTAAATTAATTTCCTGATGGTTATTTTTGTTCTGCAAAGCATTCTGCAGTTGTTTCTGCTCTAACTGCTATTTTTCATGCTGAGTGGGTCTATTTGAGCAGAAATAACTTCTAAAAGCTATTTCCTAGGATGCTCACCAGAGAGGAGTATCAGCATCATTCTGTATTTTTCGGATTGCTTTTGTTAGTAAAACATTATCTGTTTAAGGCAGTGAATGAATAGAAGCATGAATAGAATTTCATGCATAAATCCCTCTCAGGTGGTTTAGTGCAGTTAATACTTAGCATGGCAAATACCCATTAACGCATAAACAACTTAGATCACAAAAAGGAAAAGTGACAAGGGATGGAAAAATGATGGAAAAATGATGAACATTATTCCCTTGAAGACACTAGGAGCTCCAGTGTCAGAAAGATATTTTAGAACATGTTCAGTAAAGTCCCACACTAATGCAATACTTACCACATAGACAAAATCCTTTTTCTGATGCTCTCCTAGCTGCTGAAACTTATATGGGCTGATATCAATGAGGGATGAAACATGGCCATGATATGCACTGCAATGAAGGCAGTTAAATTTAATCTGTAGCTTCAAAACATGTATTCATCAATCAGCATTGGTTAGATTTTAAACTGAATCAGAACTGAACCAAAATAAATACAGGACGAAAGTTAATGTATCAGATGAGCTTTAACAGTAATTCGCTGCATTTGTATAGCCTCTTCTTTTTACAGTCTTGTGATCTGTAACTGTGCCTTGTACAACACACAGCTTCAAGTCAAAATGTTTTCAAATAAACAAAAGCAACATTCAGACCAAAACTATAAAGTGAATATTTTAATTATAATGTTACTGCTCAGAATGAAAACCTTCACTACTGAAATAAATGTCAGTAAAAACTGCAAAGAAAGATCCAAAAACAAAATATGTTAATTGGACAAATATTGACTTTGGCATCAATTGAAAACAGATGTGTTTTCAGATAAGATTACTGCACTACCTTTGTACCCCACCTTTGTACATTCATCTTGTTTTAGCTTTAAAGGTATTTCTGTTAGAGATTAAAGAGATGCACTTCTGACTTACTGGTCCAGAGTGATGATGTCATTGTGCCTCGTGTACTGCCTTGCCAGACGAAGAGCCAGGTCATTAGCTTCTGAACTGAATAAAAAAAAAGTTCAGAATCGCTAAACTGTGGAATCACAGTTCTTCAACACAGTTCTTCAAGGCTGTCTTCAACAGCCTTTCATTACCCAATTGTGCAGATCACAGAACATACAATAGACTCAGCTACAATAATTTCTGTAAATCTTCTTCCTAAAGTGTTACTTTGAGAGATGTGAAACAGTGTGACAATTCAGCTGCAGTGTGTTTAATAGGAGGATAAGGAGTTAGTGTTTTTGCTCCACTTTGTAGTCCATTAACATTAGTTTGTATGATTTGTATCTTATTTGCATGTTTTCAATAAAACAATAAAATCAAATAAAAACAATAAACTGTTTTTTAATCTGCTACTTATTTATCTTTCAACCCCCAAATAATTTTCATATGAATATAAGACAAATAACTTTATTTTGTATTCCCACATCTGTTAGTGTTTTAGTTTTTTACCTTTTATACATTGTGCTCAAGCTGGTGGCAGGAGTAATAACACTAGAACCTATATTTGAACTACAACCATGCTCTTTACACTGCAATATAGACTTTAGACAATATTACATTTACCTAAAATATCATTTACAGTTAAAAATAATCCCAAAACCAGTAATCACTTCAAGAGACAATTACTAAAATTGAATGCCTGTAAAACAGTAATACTGTAAATTTTTGAGACACCATTGTGTTTGTTGCACAAAACAGTTTAAAAGTTAGTTTATTTGTAAACTGCATGTCCACATTTGTTGTATGTTGGACTTTTCATCTCCATAGTGCCAGAATGTTGATTTATTTCCCAAATCAAGTGAAAATCTTCAGTGAGACAAATTCTCAGTGGAACAAGAAATAAAATTCTCAATGATATTATGTTTCACAGTTTTGTAATAATACATGTTATGATATGCTTAGGATTTTGAAAGGAATTATTTAAGATTTATAACCCAGAAGTAAAAATGCTAAGAGCACATAGACATACCCCGAATTCACAAAATAGCAAACCGAGAGTTTGTCTGGCAGGGTGGCTACGAGCCGCTGGGCATACTGGACAAGGTGGTCATGCAGGAATCGGGAATTAGTGTTCAGGAGCTCCATTTGTTTGGCACCAGCTCTCACTACATCAGGATGACTGTGCCCCACTGAAATAAATAATGTGTCTTTTTTGTTGCATTGCGATAAATAATTATAATGTTACATACAGTATAAATCAATATCTGGAAAATACAAGACAAATTAAAAGATATTGAAACAGTAAAAAAACAAACAAGTTTGTCTGGATGTAACTCTATGTTATGTATATTTCAGTTTTTTTTAGTATTGTATAAAATTATTAAAAGCAGTATTTTTAATGCACACAGGCAGTATTAATACATAGCTGACACTTTCTTATTTTTAACACTTTTTGTTAAGGAATATTAAAATATACAGTATCGTTTTAAGACTTGCTGTCTTAGCAAGTTCTATCTGAAACGTTTAGAAAATTTCCCTTGAAATCTAATGTCAAGTGCGAAATGTCTGTGTAGGAATGTTTTAAGCACATGGGAGGTTTTTATTTAAAGGTGAAGGATTGCTGTGGGAAACAACTGAAGCACGACAGCTGCATTTCTTTGCGTTCAGTCAAATTCTAATAACTATGAATATAAATGATTAGGATATACGTATAATACTTTGGCTTTGGCCAGAGGTCAGCGCTGTCAAAACACCCCACACTAATGAGAAGTGAACCAGGGAGAATGCTGCAATGGTTGAAGTTGGGGTGGAGGTAGAAAATCTAAAAAAGATGCTTGCAGAGTTGCGGACCAGGGATTATTCATACTGAGAGCTGAAGAGTGAGATTAGAATTGTCCTTAACACCATTTTCTATAATCCTCTATTCTGAATAGGTTCGGCCTGTTCAAATAACTACAAAACACTCATTTACTGTCAGATGACTAAAAAACCTGCAGCTATGTTTGTGGTGGAAGATGATAGTATCATGCACATTTTTCTGTTGAATTCTTTGCATTATTGTATTCATTTTGTATATACCTCAGACCTTCTCTCTGTGTGGAAGGATACTTAACATGTTCATTATTACAGAAAAATACCCTCCACCAGGCATCTAAGAAAAAACAACAAATCCCACAATAGTGCGATAACTTTAGAGGTTGAAGAAGATCAAAATGAAATTACAGGAACACGTATCATTGTACAGTATGCTGTATGTATCAATAAGTGTGAACTGGCTCTGCTTACCATGAGCAACATTATTGATGCAGTCCAGGTATCTCTCTCCCCTCTCATCATACATGTACTGGCCCTTTGCACGGACTATCTTAATGGGATCATGGCTGAAGAAAACTTTGCAGGATGGCCTAAATAAAGGTTAAGTACAACACATATTCAACAATGTATTTCTCAGATTAGACAAAGAACGTCTTAATATTTTCTAAATGTGATTTACATTTTCGTAGTTATGGAACCATCTTTCACAATTTGATGATTTATTTCGTTTTGTCACAGATACTGGAGTTTCAACATGTTGGCCCAAAAACAATGCAAAAATCTTGCATATTGCAAGGCATGCTATGCAGATTGCAAACTTAAAGGCCAGAAAACCTTCCAAATGTATTTGATATTAAATGATACCTGTGGGATGTTCCCTAGAAAACTGCAGAGTTCTGCAGAAAACCTTCATGAATCAGAAGGGATTTGGGCAGAAAATATTCAACTCAGAACCAGAATTCTATGTCATATGACAACTTCAATAGACAAATACTTTTATATTAAATGGCATGACAAAGAATGTGACTTTCTTGTGAACAGGCTTTGGCTGGCATGGTAGCATTGTATGGCTCACATTTTTGGGTTTGGATTTATTTCCAGACTAGGACTCTTTGTGTGTAATTTGTATGTTCTCTTTGTGTTCCTTTGCTTATCCAGCTGCTCCATTTTTCTACTACTGTACCTTCAAAAGACATACAGATTGGTGTATCTAGATTGTATGTGTTCTTGTGTTTGAGTTCTGCGATGGACTAGCATCCTATCCAGGGCTCAAACACAACAACACACACACAAGCTTCTTTACCAGGAGTGTCTTTCTCAATAGGGACGGAGAGACAAATATGTCCCACTTCAAATTTAAACATTTAGAGTTCTTTTTTTTAGATTTTCAACCATTTGAGTGTCTCTTTTACTTTCAAATAAACCAACTGTGGTTCAAATTCTGTCCAAACCCATTGCAGTAAATCGCCATGTCAAATTAAAAAGGAAGCTAATAGAAGATTCAGAAATAGAGGATAAGACCTGTGATAAAACAGTGTGAACAAACATTCCATCACTTCATGAACCAGAGAGGTGCAACGGTGCAGATGGAATGTAAGGATGGGGTGCTAGAAAAGATGCCCACCAAGTTGTGAACAGACAACGGGAAGTTATTTGTACTGTAGAAGTATGGAAGTCAGAAATTAGATTTTGACCTCCTCCTGAAGTTCTGTTAAATAATACCATTTCACTAGTTTGTTCAAATTCTAATAAAGCCAAAATAATGAATATAAGTGGATACTGCACTTTGGCATTCACCTAGCTGAGGAAGAGGTCATTACACACAAGTTAACTTTGGCTGACCAAAGATCAGCACTGATATTTGTTCAGCAATCACTGATCTGATCTCAGCACTGTCACAACGCCCAGAAGGATCCTGGACTTAAAAGGAAGTCTGTTCAGCTGCAAAGTTTGACAGTACTATAGTCTAAAAGTAAATAATAAGTGTTTATGATAATAACTTGAACCTTCATAGAGTAGATTTTACATAGATACTGTATGTACTGTATGATGCATGCATGTCAGAAAACACAACAGAATGAATGAGGATGGATTGCTAGAGGAACCCTTGAAAAAAGAATAAATATTATCTACGTTCACAGATGGAAACTTGGAGGGGAAAGAGTCAAGGGGCTCAGCACCAGTTGGACATCAAATAAGGGAGGGTAGGGGGTGGGGGAATCGGTCATCATATCAGCCAGGGCTGTGATGGGGCATGGGCACCAGGCACGTTGAGGTCTGTGAACAAAGAGGCCTGGATCTAGTTTAGACTGACGCTGCGTGCTCACACCTTCAGGGTGGAGTGAGAGTCTGGGACCAGTGGCTTCCTATGGGGACAGAGAACAAGAGAACTCGGGAAAAGGGAGAGACAAAACAGCAAGGAGAGGCTGGGTTGTAGGTGTAGTAGGTCAAACAGAAGCTTAACCTGAAATAGAGAAAAGTGGGGAAGACTGTGGAGCAAGGGGGATTAGGAGAAGAGAGGAGGGGAGAAAGGGGAGAAAGTGGCTGCAGTTGAACAGAGTTCAAATGAGGTTGACAAAACCAGGAGAACTAAAAGAAAAGAGCAGACACCATGACAAGTGCAGTGAGTTGGTTGTTTTCCATGAAGAATTTAAGGTTGAAGAACTGCTTTTTCAAGAAGAGATGAGAATTGACTTTGATAACAGCCAGTAGAAGGGCTGCTTGGAAATAATCAGTAGTGCAGGCTGGATGTTGAGAAGCTAGAAAAATGTCAATGGTAGTACTGCCAGAGCCTGGAGAGCCTGGACAGAAGCAGTGCTAAGGAGTTGGCATCAAGAGCAACTGTGGCTGAGTGGGAGAGACCCGGGACTTAAGGTGCCAAAGATATTGGGCCAGGTCAGATACTGGTGATAGGAGGAGGGGGGAAAGGCAGACATTAGGTGCTGTAGAATGCCTGCTGACTGAGCCAGAGGCAGGACAGTGGACACTGGACAGACCCAGGACTAATGGGATGGCATCCAGAGCAATAGCGGCCGAGAGGAGAAACCTAGGCTGGAAGACACCACAGACAACTGGTAAATAGGCCACATTGGCACAGGAAAGCAGAAGAAAGTGCAGAAGAGTAGAGATTACATTAATTTTTAGGAGGTTGAGGAAAACAAGAGGCAGCAGGAACAGCAGAACAAGCAGAGATATTAAACAAATAGAGGGACAATCACAGACACACTTTCAAGAAGAGGGAATGTTAAGAGAAACAGAAACAGGGTGACCAAGCAAAATGGAAGTCTTAGGGGTAGCAGAAGAGGCAACCCAGGAGTCTTTTTGATAATCTGTAGCTGTATGTACTGTAGCTGCACACGGGGTGACGTCATCCTTAGAGGAATAAGGAGGATAGCCCATTTGTTTAATTATACATGAGATGAAATCTTCTGTCATTGCAGTTAAGAGTGTGGTCCACATAGTGTATAGATGAATAATGTGTAAGTATTTTTCTTTTTAATTCTATCTTGTTTTCTCTTTCTTTGTTGTTTGGGACATGGTATATATTGTATATAGGTGAATAATGCTTGAAAGCATGATACTGTATGTAGAATAGATATTATATATTTTTTCTTCCTACCTGTCTTTGCCCTTTCCATCCTTCTGTTTTTAAAGTGTGGAATACAGTCCACATATAGACAAATAATGCATGAAACAAAAAAGAGGTGTTTGCATGAAATATATAATGTGAATGATATAGTGAACATTGATAATCATTATGATTTAGAACAGCTGAGTGAAAACGGCTTGTTTGTAAGTATTCCTACTGAACCTCAGTTAAGAACTTCCATTTGCAATGAAAAACCTCAGCTGGTTGAAAACGGAATAAATGTCACTTGGCTTTTGTCATGCCATTGAGTCATACAGGGCAGGTTTATACTGTATTTGATTTCATAAACAATAATGTGCAGGAATCTGATAGAATAGCGAGTGTGATAGCCTGAACTCAGTTTGAAAAGGACAATGGATGCTTTTCCCTGTGTACAGGTAGCTCATCCATGTTAGTACAGAGATACTGTATGACTATTTCCACCTGTACTTTTTTACATTTTGTGTTGATTCTTTTGGGCTTTACTGAGGCAAGTCCAGTTACAGGTTAATGTGAAAGATTATTTTGTGCTTGCTCTCTGCTCTGCAAAGCACTCCTTATGTGATGCAATTCTGTCTTCTTTAAAGAGCTGAGCTGTAAATTTTAATCTTGTTGGTATCTTAGTTCACCATTGTTTATTATTCCTTGGTATCGTGGTTTATAACAGGTGAAGTGTTACTAATCTCCAAGATAAACAACAGCTGTTGTCGAATCCACATCATATTGAGATCCGTATTGCTATAATTGTTACATGCCCAATTGTCCAATTAGAGAACCTTGGACTTTGGATCCCCTGACTAGATTATCGAGAGGTCCTAGTCGTCGAAAATTAGAATTAATTTTCCTCTTTTCCTCATTTAAAGCAATAAAGTAACTGCTACAGGGATGATATGTTGTGTATGGAGAACCTCAGGTGGATAGCATTAAGTAAAGAACAGAACAAGCCAAATATTCTGGCATTATGCTGTACTTGCACTACAGTTTTCAGTAATAAAAACAACATTAACATCGCCAAGGAAAACGCAACATCGAATCGTTAATTTCACATGAAAACTTTCCATATGCTCTGATTGATCATTTTCTGTACTGCTGTTATGCAGACCCGGCAATTGAGCTGCAATTGAATACTGCAATTGAACTACTAGGTACAGCGCAAGGTAATCTAAGTGTTGTCAACAGTTCAAGCCTGGGTACAAGTGAACTACAGTCCTATCCTGAAACGCAACGAAATTGCGAAAATAGGGGTGCATTGTCATCCCAGGTTTTGAAGAACTGAATTAAAAAAACTGAACTTATTGTTTGCGGATCACTTTTCTTCACTACTACTACTAATAATAAATCACATGATTTAAACTCTTACCCAATGTGTCTCTTTCTCAGCTCAATTGTTGTCTTCTTGTTTAAAGTTTCTGTTGACATCTTGAAACCCACATTAAAATACAGCAGGGACCAAAACCTTCTGTTTCTGTCTCCCAAGTTCAAGAAAGAGGAGCCTCTGTGATCTGCGGACTGTGTTGATACCCTGTACGTTATGGTCCTTGCCAGTGTGGTTTGTACCCTCCCATTTATGAGTGTACAGCCGCCCGCTGGTATCTTCCTTACCTTACAGCGCGGCGATTGCATTAAAGCAGACTGAACTAGTCTGTCAAAGATTATATGAAGTTATTGCAGTGCACTGCAGTTTAGATACTGTGTTACGTAAATACTGTACAAAGATTATTAAACTTTACAACAGTTTGTGAAAAGGTCATTAGCAGAGCAAGGTTTTCGTTGAACATTAAGTAGGTTAGACAGCAGACCATATGAATAGCACTTAAAATACGTTGCTACCCATTCCGTTTAAACTGAAATCTACAATATATTGAATGTTCTATCCATTCCGAATAAATTAAATCCCAATCCCCACTCCTCGACAAAACACTGGCTATTTCGCGATACTGTTTTACATTTAAAAATTCATCATTTCATAATTTTATTTTTTTCACTTTTTTAAATAGAAATTAAAAACAATTATTGTGATGAAGTCAGGTTGTCGATTGGCACAGTACAGTAGCTTGAAAATTTAGTCAGAACATTACACATTGAAGACGTTTCAATTTCAAATATAAATATTTCAAGGGCTTGTTACGTTCCCCTGTAAATAAGAAATTACATCATACGGGCGACCTTTATTTTTTTCATAAGCCAATGCACTCAGTCTATTGGTAAACTCAAAACCGATTATATAACAATTACAAGACTGTATACTTTGTAGAGGCTGTATATATATATATTTTATCACGCATGAATATCGTTCTATAACGATAGAAAAGAGAAAAACAAATGAAATCCCCCATTACCTCTCTGAATTGAATGATATGGACTCATAATATACAAATAAAGCCGGATCTTTTATTTAAATAATTATATCTCAAAATATAAATTTCTTAAAATAATTTGAATTAAAAACTTATACTGTAGGTGGTATTATCGGGAATTGTTTGGGTTTTAAACTCTTAAGTAGATGGTTGTGAATTCAAATTCCAGGTTAGGACAATGCTGTAGTGCCCCAGAGAAAGGTGCTAAACTCTCAACTTAAACCAGACTGGGACTAAGAAAAATATATTAAAATAGTTATTTCCATCCATTCGTTTTCTAACCACTTTTTCCAACACAGGTTCGGAAGGGGAGTCAGAGCTTATTCCAGTAAGCAATGGGTACAAGGCAGGATAACCCATGGACAGAACACACATGGGGGAACACAGACATGCACACAAGTGCAAGTTTTTCCGAGAAGCCAGATAACAAATGGTATGTCATTGGACTGTGGGAGGAAACTGGTGCCTGGAGGAAATCCACGTGAACATGGGGAAAACAAGCAAACTCCACACAGATAAAACCCCAAGGCCAGAACTAAACCCAGGGCCACAGTGCTACAAGGACAGCAGATCTAACCACTGCACCACCGTGCCACAGAATTGTCATTTAAAAAGGTATATTTGAAAATGTGATTTCTCCCTTATACATTCTATAATTAATTAATTTAAAGACACTAAATAATGTTTAACATGAAATTCTGTCAATAACCAAAAAATTCTACTTTAAAAAATAAGTATACTATACATTGTCCTTTTATTCAAAATGTCTTTGTTAATTTACTGGAAATAAATAAGAAGGCTCCGCAACTGAAACGTTGTCTCTTTTCTTGTTTTTTTCAGCATGGAATAAACCTTTACTTGTTCATTTCAATAATAAAGGTAGCTGATGGACTCAAAGGTTGCCTTAAAGCTCCTCTATATAAACATGCGTAAGAGAGACCTTCAGCATTAAGGCTGAAGACCAGAAGTCTGAAGCAAGCCATAGAAACAGAACTCCATCTTGACCCAAAACATCATCACATGAGGCAAGCACTTCCCAGCCCTACACAAGAGATTTCTAAAATACTATACCACCATGGCCCCAGCATCCCCACTGCTCTGCTCCCACAGACAGATTGATGAGTATGAGAGAAAGAAGGAGAAGTAAAACTGAATTTATTTGGCTCCAACAGTACAATCTCAAGAAATACTTCTGACGTAATGTTTATTAACTGTGAGAAAAAAAAACCCAAGATACTGTCAATGATTTAAAGCGTTTGAAAACTTTAAAAATGTAAAACAAAGAGAAAATACAAACTAAAGAAAAAAAGGTTAAAAAGTTGCCATATACAGTGAAAGAGACTTCAGAGAGAGACTGCTTTAATCTTTTATCCTCTCTTCTTTATACACTTTTGCTCATTATAATGTCTCTTTTATTTCATCCAACAAGAAAACATGTTTAGTTTCAATACAGCTACTACTCCAAGTGAAAATGATTAAACTCTCCTGCAGAATAACCTCTTCGGAATTTGGATTATGTTACAGTCGCTTCATTAACATCATATAAACTACAAAATAAAGTGTCAGA